TCCCTTCTTTCCCAGCTCCGGTTCCAGGAGTTTTCCCAGCCTTGGACTCCGAACTCTCCCTTATGGAATGGTCGCCTCCCTGTCTGCCCCGCTTCTGGAAAAGTGGGAAAAAAGCGCAAAAAATAACCTCCCAGGAAAAAGCTGTGCTGTGCTTCCCTGACGGAGAGGCGCTGGAAAGCTGTCCCCGACCAGCCGAGTTCCTTGTGGCATCCCTAAAACCTCGATCTTGCTTCTCTCTGATCTTTTTTTACATTAAAGATTCTCCCTCGGTTCTCCCCATATCTTTTCTCTTAGAATTCTTTTTTTTTTCTTTCTTTTTAAGCCTAGTTTAGAAGTAATAATTCAGAAATACGTTTAGAGGCGCTTGGGTCGTATGCTTTATTTATTTATTATTTACTGATTATTATTTAGTTAATATGGCTTAAATATGTGTTTTATTGAAAGTCTTACTTTCAAGTGACTCTGACACGTAAATAGTCACAGAGGTGTCTCTTGGCTCCCTGAAAGTTAAGAGGGTGTTTTACACCTGGTGGTGGAATTCGGAACAGTTTCACAAATCCCAGCTTTGTGTCTCTTTTGCTTTTCCTTCTGCTAATTGTTTCTTCTTCCTGGATTTCCCGTGAGCTCAGCTCTCTCCACGGAGTTGTGATAAAACACTTATTTCCCCCGAGGTTTTGACACGAATTTCATGGGAAGCTTCATTTTAAGTCTCGTGGAACCAGGGATAAACTAATTATTGGGGGTTTCAACAGAACAGTGTGCATGAAAATCCCAGGTAATCGATGGTTCAGTGACACCATCACACCTACAGCATGAGATTAATTACAGAAAAATCATAAAGCTCTCAATTTAAATAAGTCAAGGCCGGGTTGGACAGGTTCTGTCACTGGATTTTTGGTACTGTGGTCCTACTTTTTTTCCTGGAGTGGTGTCTGTCCAGTGCCCTTTTTATGTTGTACTACTAGTGATCATGCACAAAAAGCAGTGCAATGTTAAAAGGGCATTGGCCAGCAATGCTGTCTACGTTATGTTCTCATTTTTTGCTACAGTCACACGTCCAAAGTCACTGCCTGAGACCAGGAGGGGATTTGCAAAACAGCTGTAAAATAGTTTTGAGTTTTCTGAGTGCCCTGCAAGGAGCAAAGAACACTGCCCAGCATTCCTAGTTCTTCTCCACTCCATTCCCAGGTTTCTTTGCATTTTGTTGTTGAGGATCTCAGCACCTCCAAACCCTGAGAGTTCTCAAACCTTCAATATGAAGTTAAAAAAAAAAGCACTTTCATTTAGATTTATGAAATACACCCCCACAGTGACGGTGCTCTCGCACCCAGGTGGCAACCCCAGGGATAATGTACATCCACAGAGCTGAGAAATAAGTGTTTAAGTACATTTTAAAGTGATTCAGCACCTGCAGATTATAAAGAATAAACTGATATCTAGAAAACATTCCCTGTAATGCAGTTTTAAGAACATCTGTCTGACAGCAGCTCCGAACCTTCGCTTGCTGCGAGGCAAACCTAAGAAATAAATGCATTTGGAACTGTAGTTTCCAGGTAAAAAAAAGCACCAGAATTGTTTGAAATCGAATTTTCTGCTGAGCATTTTGTTGGGGGGTTTGGGATTTTTTCCCCCCTTTTGGTCAGTGCAACAACCAAATTACAAATAATAAGAATGTCTTGAAATACATGAGCTCTTGTGTGTGGGGTGAACTTGAATATTACCCAGTTCTTCGTGATCCACAGCAACCACTGTGTGAGCTGAGGTGTTTTATTGCCTTTTCTGAGTGTGGTGGTGATCCCTGCCCAGAGTTGTTGCTGCTAACAAGTGCTCTGACTTTATTGCACTACTGTTCTGTACAGCGAGCAGTGCAATAGTATTGTCAAAGCATCTGAGAGCAGAGCACCTTCAGCCTCCCTCCCCTCCGAGCCCGTGAGTAAATTACAAATTTACACCTCAAAACCTGCATTTTCTTTGGGACTGTTGTCAAATAAACTGCTTCTGACCCAGGTGGGATTTTTGCAGGGGTGTGTGTGTGTGTGTGTTTCTGGAAATAACAGTGAGAAATAAGTGTTTATGAAATAAAAAGCAGTGATATTGAACTGGGTTAAGCTTTTCATTGAGCACAGGTCTTAAAATTCCAGCCAGGTGATGGATAAGCTTTGAGCTTCACACTCAGTTTTTTCATGTCCTGGGTCACAGTAGTAGCGTGGTGTTAGTGGGTTCCTGTCCTTGTGGAAGTCTCAAATTATCAATTTGAATGTTTCATGGGTAATTCTGAAAGCCACCTGTACCCATTGTCTGCTTTCCCAAAATTAATCAAATGGAGGAGTTGGAGAAAAGCAAAAAAGCAAAATAAAATTATTTTTTGGGGGTACCTGCCTGTGGAAATGAAAACCTAAAACTGTTTGCTTAGTGGAGGAGAAGAGAAATTATTGGGCAGTTAAGGAAAAAATCCCTCCTGAACTCTTTAAACATGTGTGGTGTAATGAAATGTATTTTATTCCTGGATTTTATCATGGCTGGTTTCTGGGGCAGGTGTGGGAAGAAGTTTTGGTGGGCAGATGGTGAGTTATGGCTGTACTGGCTGAAAGCTTTTCCCTTTGATTTACAGGTGCTCAAGCTCTTCACCAGATTTAGTTTCCTTTTCTTAAGCTATTATTTGAAAATTTGCTGAGGGTGTGTGAAACATCACCCATCTCCACTCCCTCAGAAAGGGGGTTTTATTGCAGAGTATCCTGGATCAAACCCTATTCCTTGAGGCTGTCTGAAATTCCAGATCCTCAAAGGCATTCCTGGCCACTCCTTAAAGAAGTTGGGATGGTCACTGTGGGGTTAATCCCAACAGAAACAGAGAAAACCAAATTAAGGAAGTTACAACCATTTTTAACTTGCTTTCATCACTGTCTCTTCTGTGACTGTAAAAATCACCGAATTATTGTGTAAAAAAATTAATGAGTGGCCTGTGAACTGGGCAAACTGCCTTTCTTTGCAGTGGAAGTCTTTAACAGATATTGAAATCACAGGCTAAAATTAATTAAGTAGTAATGCTATCAGCAGACTGGTTTACAAGGCAATTAGATAATTCTCTGGTGGCTTATTTATCCCAAGGAGAGAAAAGTGATGTCATCAGTTTTATTAGCTGTTAGTCAGTCTGGTTTATTGGGGAATAATAGAATATATCGTGGGCATTAAAACCAGCTGAAAGAACACATCCCTGACATAATGAATAACAGAACCTCTGGTGATACTTTTGGATCCTGAACACTTGCTCTCAATCTCTGCTGGGTTGTGGTTTTGCTAACAGAACTTTGAAAATGTTAAGTTTGAAAACTGTTTTCTGCTTTCCTGAAACACATGAAGGGCAAATGGTTGGGGCTTGTCTGCAGGTTTTGGTTTCTAATACACTGTGCCTGACCTTAAATATTTTAGTTCCAGAAGGCAGAAGCTGATCTGGACTGGATTCAACACAGACTGGAGTATGAAATAATGAAAACTTTTCCTGATGATACACCACCAGAGGTAGTGTTAATAATTAACAATGTTTTTGATTAAATGCATAGATTTTACTGCATTTTCTATGAAGATGGTAACAAATGGGACTGTTCTTTTATCTGGTTGTTAGGGTTTTATTATTGTTATTATGAAGTATTTCCTGCATCATTTATCAAGATAACTGGCCTAGAATGAATTCAAACAAAACCCCCTTGGTTTCTTAGTACAGAGAAATTCTCCCATGTTCTGCTCTGAGAAATTAGTAGTGGTAACACCTAAATTCAAGAGACAGAGCAAAGGTGTGTTTTAGCTCTCAGATCCAACTTAAACTTGCTCAGAAGCAATGACTAAATTAATATTTGGGGGAGAGATTAGAGGAAGAGGACAACAATAAATGACATCACGTAAAGGATTCTATAAATAAGTCCTTATCTCCGAGTATATTGTAACATACAGCAGAAAAATCATCTTTTTTGTTAGAAATCCCCAATTTATTCTATGCCAGAAAAGCTATTAAAGGTCTCCAACACCATAAATTCCTCCTCCTGTGTTTGATGTGGAACCACAGAGTTATGCTGGTTTATTAACACCATCTAGAGCAGAAACACCCTCACAGCTACACTTTTCACTGCAAAGGCTCATTTCGTGTCCTGTTTTGGGGCCTCCAACACCTGCCCTTTTAATTGGTATTGACCCAGATTATATTTTCTTTGCTGGTGTGGTGTAAATGTACTTTTACCTTCTCCACAGGACAATCCCCTTGCTATCCTGGAAGGACTCTCAGCAGCCAAAGCTCGTTACAAAGCGCTGTGCACCCGGATGGACAGGATTGCCAGGGAGCAGAAAGAGGCCATGAAGGGCATCCAAGCTTCTGTGGAGAACACAACCAAGATAGTTCAGGAATTACAGCAAAAAGCTGGGCTTGAGGTAGGGCTTTTCCTTTTAACCCCTTTCTTTTCACTCCTGGAAATGAACAGGGACTTTGTAGCCTTTACTTACTGTGAGTGGTTGGAAGCTGTTGCACAGAGTGCAGGCTCTTGGAAGGAGATGAGAAGATGGTTTCCCAGGAGAAATTCCTGCAGGATTGGAGCTCTCTCTGTAAATCCCAGTCCTCAGCAGTGCTCAGACTGGGAGCTGAAGTAATACCTGAGTAGTGTCAATAATTTCATAGAGGTTTCAGAGGAATCAATGCCTTTGGGCACAGCTGTGTCCCAGGGCCACGCTGGCATCTTTTAGGAATGGAAAATGGAAGGTGAAAGGGATTTTAAGAAGCAAGAAAGCTTTTAAGTGGAAAATGTTCTTTTCACTGTCTGAAGTGAGTAAGTTAAAACCAACACATTGGAACATACACACTGGGATTGTAAGTTTTCCCTCAGTATGATAACACCCCTCTAGCTATTAAAGAAACCAAGAACACATTTTCCTAAGTGGTCTTCAGACACTGCTTTATAACATTTTGAGGAGGTTGTGAAAGCATTAATTTTGTCCCTTTACAAATAAGGTGCTTCAGATCAATGTTCTAACAACACTGCCCTGAGATTGTGTTTTATCTGTCAACACCTCTAGATAAGGGACTGGTAAGTCTTTACAGACAAAAGGTACTGTATCCTGACTTAAAAGACAGTACTTACATGTCACAGAAAGGAAAATATATCATATCTCCCCGTGTTCCAAGGATAGGCTGCCAAGCATAATTCTGTATTTGGATTTTGTTAAAGTGGAAGACTCTCCTCTCTGGAGTTATATGTAGAATTTTAGATAAAGATTTTCTTCTACTTTGTTCATTTCCTAAACCAGAGATGAATTAAACTGCTCTGGTGAAATGCAAGTCTTTGAGTTCAAGTGCTTCTTTTTATTGAAGAATTTATCTTACTTGAATAATTTATAGTATTGATGCTAAAGGAAGATTATGGTTGATTTTTTTCAGGAATACTTTGCCTGTGAATTTGCTTTCAGTTGAAGGAAAGTAGGAGTCTACTACCAGTTTCCCTGAGAAAAGGGCTCCATAAACATTGAGTTCTTCTGTAAATATCATCACCTCAGGAACCAAGGGATCAGAGTTCTCTGTGTTTGCTTTTTTTTTTTTGCCTAGAGCTTGCCCCTGTCAGCAGAAGAACAGGCTGCAGCACAGCAGTTGGGCATCCAAACTGGGACAGAAATGGAATCATCAGTGGGAAAGGTAATTAGGGCACGGAGTGTCAGCATCCCAGAAACCAGGAATCCTGAGTGTGGCTCAGAAGGGCTGCTTTTGTGACTTAATACCTCTCAAATGAGTGGCATTTTTCAGAAATGGGATGAAGTTTCTAACAAACCCTTTCATTTTTATTGTACACAGGTTAAGATTTTTAATTGTTCCGGTTTAATTGTCCACAAATGAAAAATTAGCTTTGATGGAAGACTTTGTTCCCCTTATTTTTTTCATTGGGATGTGTTTGTGTTTCTTTTCAGGGATGCAGTTGGTTGCTCTTGTTGATCCTCTTGTTCTATTAATGCATGAGATAAAAAACCTTTGGGTGGGAGTCAGGAATGTAATTGATCCAAACCAATGCATCTCAACGTGGAGAGAAATTTAATTTCCTGTAAAAAATAAATTTTGGGGTATGAGTAACAGTATGTTCTAACTGCAATGCAGTAGAACATAGATAATAAACTAAGATTTGTTGAAAAGTAGCTCAAAGCACAAAATTCCAGTATAATTATCTGCAAATATTTGGTTTGGGTGTCATATTAAAAACACAATAATAAAGAGGGTCAACAGAGTGTATTTATCTGATTGATCTTGTCTTTTTGCTGTGCCTTCTCACTGCCCACTGTCACAGGACACCCCACTTTCTGTCCCTTTATTGCCAAGGCTGGTTTGCATGAAAGCTGTCCAGGATCCTGCAGCTTCACTCAACATATCTGTGTGCAAATATCTGCTCCTGCCTTGAGAAATGCTCTCAGTTCCTGCCTTTCCATCCTGAATTCTAAAGCACTTCCCACCCAGCTGCCACAATCCCTCTGGAGCTGCATCCTGTGGCTACCAAGGCTCAGTGGGGATCAGCCCCTGTGTTGTTTTTGTGTTCTCAAGACGTTCCCTGAAAGGCAGAAAAAGTGGGAAGACGTTGCAAAGGCCCTGGGAATTTTGTATCAGGGCTGTATTTCTGGCTGAGGAGGGTTTGGTAGAGCTGCTTTCAGCTTGTCACAGCTGTCAGCCTCCCAGGGCTGCCTGGGAAGAGGGAAACCATCTCTCCCTTTGCTGCATGTGAAGTGCTTTCAGAGCCACACTGGAATGCAAAGGAGGAAGCTGGAGAGGCTCATCTGACTTGCATATCAATCCTGCTGGATCCATTTGAAACTTAATTTTACTTGAAACTGTGTTTGATCCATTGTGCCCGTTGACAGCTGCAAGATCCTGGGTTATCCAGTGGTAAAATGTAACCACTTGTGCAGGAATGAAAGTGTAAAAAAGAAAATTTCTAACAAATCCTGACACTTCTGTGTTTATTCCTAGCTAGGTTGTGCAGGATCCACAGTCCCTGGCTCAGCTAAAGGTAAGTGCTGAAAAAATAAACTTCCCACTGTTTTCTTCTCGTGAAGCCTGTAAATAAAGACAGTAAATTCACTGTTTTCACTCTCAAGCACCAGTAACTCCTGCTTTCATGTGAAGAATTCAGATTTTAGTGTAAGAACCTGACCTCTTAGCTACATTCTGTGTATAGTTCTGGGGGTTCTTCTTGCTGTTGATGGGACTGAAGTGCATCCTGCTTTGTTTATGGTATGGAAGAAATGGTCTCACCATAGAAACAGCTCTTTTGAATCAATTTGTCCCTACTTATGGGAAGGAATTCTCCTGTTTTGCTTTGGTTTGGTTTTTGAAACACAGCTAAATAGTCACTGACAGACCAGATTTGTCAATCCAGAGCTCAGATTAAATGATTTTTCACTGGGCCTGCAGATACAATGATAGTTTGGAGGGAGTATCTTCCTTCCCTCCTTCTTCTTGCTGGAAAATCTTCCTTTAGACCCATTTAGAGGGATTATTAAATGGTAATGGAAGGGACAGTCTCCAGAGGGTGAGATTTACAGAGCACTCACAAAAATCATTCAATATGTGCTTTTTAGCCTTTTTCTGCCTGTTTGATCCCTGTTTTGGTAAATGGTTTGGGTTTGTCTTACAGGGCAGCACTGAGTATTTCACAGGTGGATGAGATGAGTACGAAACCCTCTCACTCAAGAATTCAGGTCCTGGAAGAACTTGGTATTGTGAAAAGCAACAAAAAAGGGGATGTTGAATTAGTTGTGTAAGTGAAAGCTCGGCCCGTTCTCGTCTGAGACACAAAAGCACCTTGGTCCCAGCTCCTGGATTATGAAGGAACAAGTATTTCCCTGGGATCTAAGAGCTGCTGAAAGTCCACTGTTTGGAGAGTTGTAATGTTTCTGTGCACAAATTCTGTTTCTAGTACTTAAAACTGGAGAGTTAAAAACCACTGAGGTTGGCATTTTGCCTTGGATATTTATAGGCCTATGGCTGATGCATTTTTGAAGAGTTGTTACGAGCCATGTGACATTTTCTTGCTCTCGTTCTTCAGCGGGTTTTTAAACAAGTAAGCCAAGCCTCTTAAGTGTACTTACATTCCTGAATAAATGATGAAAGCTAAGGAGATGCCATGGATTTATTATACTTTTGTGTACGTGACTCCAGACCCGGTGCCTTGCCCTGACCCCTGAACCGGGGCCCTGACCTGCTTAATTTTCCTTTGCCATGAACTCCCTTGGGTTTTTCAGAGTCCAGGGAAACCAGAGGCTCGCAGAGGGGCCGAGATTGGGAGGGACCTCTGGAGACTGTCCAGTCCAACCCCCTGTCAGAGCAGGAGCAGCTGCAGCAGCTCCCCCAGGGCAGCGTCCTGAAAAATTCCAAGGATGGAGAATTCCCAACCTCTGTTAACGCTGTTTGACCACCCTCACGGTGAAAAACATAAGCAGGATTTTTTTCCCCTGCATGTTTAATTTTTCTATATTTATTTCGACCTAATTAGGGGATAAGATATCCCAGGTTTTACCCCAAGTTCCGGTGGGGTTTTGGGAAAAATTGTGTCTGTCAAAGGAGAGGAATTTAAATTAGTGCTCCTGGGGAGGGGAAGGCTGATTTCCGAACTCATTGATGAGCCGGTTTAGGGTTTGATGGGAAGAGGAATAGCCTGGATATTGAAGAAAAAAGGGAAGGAAAGAAGAGGGATAGGTTGCTTTTTTGATGTCTGCTGCCCTTTTACCAAAAAAACACGCGTCAAACTCTTACTTTGGACACCGAAGAGCCGCCGGTTCCCTCAGGGGCGGCCGCGCCTCCCGCTCTCCCCTCAGCGCGCCCGCCCTCCGCGGGCGGCCCCGCGCATAGCGCACTGCGGCGCGGGGGCGAGCGCCCGCGCTGCCGCGGTCACGGCCGGCGGGGCGCGCGGGGCTGGGCTCCGGGCGCTGCCTCCGCCCCAGCCGCCTCCTCAAACCCCGCGGAGCCTCCGCTCCTTACCCCGGGCACGGAGAGAGAGGGCCGGGGACAGGCGTCCCCACGCCCGCCGCCGGCGGGGCCGCAGCCATGGACGAGCAGAGCGTGGAGGTGAGCGGCGAGCGGGCGGCGCGCGCGTCCCCTCAGGGGTCCCCTCAGGGGTCCCCTCAGGGACTGCCCTCAGGGACTGCCCTCAGGGACTGCCCTCAGGGGCTCCTCGCTCCCTGCCCGCTTCACCCCTCGGCGGGGGCTCTGTCTCGGTGTGAGGGGGGTGGATAAAAAAGGCCGCTCGGCAGCGGCTCCGGGGTGCGCAGGGAGGCAGCAGGTGGGGATGTGGGAGGAAATGAGCTGCGGGAGCAGCGCGGGTGCCAGTTCCGGAGGTGGATGGAGGGACGGAGGGAAGGATGGAGACCTGGCGCACACACAGCCCGCCTTGGCACCGGGCTGGGCTCTCTGTAACCCGGCAGCTCGCACACCTGCTGTGGGCTGAGAGCAGCCAGACCGGAGAAGGGTTTGAAAGACCATCTGTGACAACCTGCTGTGTGTTGCATTCCAATGGTTTGCCCCTGTTAAAGAAGGCAATGTATACGGCCTATTGTGATATCTGTAAATTGAATGTGCATCTTGCTTTTGTGCTGATTCATAATTTCAATGCTGTGGGGAAAAATTTAACCCTCCTGAAGAACCTTTGAAAGTTCCGTAGTTAAAACCGTGACTCCTGTATAATGCAGAATGTAGAACTTCTTTATCAGTTAAAAATCTGTCAATATGTAAAGCAAACATTGCCCTCAAAATACCTGTCTCGTTTGGGGAATGGGGAGAGGTGAGGTGGTTGTTCTGTAGAACAGAATGGTTCTCTCTTCAAATGGGTATAGCAAAAAGAGGTTGGGTTACATTTTTATCACCCAAGATTGGTTAAATAGGGTGTGAGAGAGCTAATGGTAGACCATAAAAGAATGTAAATCTTATAAAAGTAAAAAAAAAAAAAAATGTGCCATTCAATTCAGTCCCTCTCATTAGCATTCTGTGTGTCACATGCCTGCACTTACCATGGTTTTGAATTAGTTTGGTGCCTGTCCAGTGACACCGGTGGGTGCAGTGCCTGCAGGTGCAGCACAGCTTCTTCTGGCAACTGTTCAATCCCTGGTGAGCTCAAGCAGGAATGATATCCTGGCCTGAGGAAGGCCTGCTCCAAAAAAAAAAAAAAGATGAGGCAAACAGAGAAACTATTCCTTGAAGAAGGAGGATGTGAAATGGTGCAGAGGAGGAGAGCCCTGGTGTCGAGGTGGTGCCTCGCTGGGGGATGTGCTGTTTGGGGTGGAACTGAAGCGAAACCTGGCGCTCTGCCTGGAAAACAAAGGCAACTCTGATGTGTTTGAAAGCCTGTGGTTTAACAATGGTGATAATCCCCCCTTTGCAGAGCATTGCCGAGGTGTTCCGATGTTTTATTTGTATGGAGAAGCTGCGGGATGCTCGCCTGTGCCCCCACTGCTCCAAGCTGTGCTGCTTCAGCTGCATCCGGGTGAGTTCGCTTCTCACAGCTTATTTTTGCAAATGTATGAGCTGAAAACCGGCTGATCTTGTGAGAACGTTCTTGTTCCTTTTCCTGGAGTTCCAAGGATTCCTTTTTCCTCCTCTGTGCTCCTCAGTTTCCCTTTCAAACACTTTTATAACACCCTGAGGAAAAACTAGGCGGGCTGTGCATTGCGTTCCGTGGTGCTAATTATAGGGACCATCTGGAATAAGTGCTGTTAAGGAAGAGACACACAATGATTCCCTCTTTAGCATCTCCTGAGAGTCTGTGGTGCCTGTGTGGGAGACAAAAGTTGGGACAGGAATCAGATGCTGACTTTGCATCTGGGAAGGTCATAACATCACCTCTTGTATCCTGGAGATGATTTATAATGCTCATCAGGCCAGCGTGATGTGATCAGAAGGGGCTAAATCTTTCTCAGAGGAGTCTGGGGCACCACCAGAATCTCAGTTAATTTAAGGTGATGGTTACCAATGTATAACACCTCAGTTCCAAACCAGCTGCAGTTATCTGTTGGTGTAGCAGGAGAAGGTTCAGCTGAGGTTTCCAGCCCTCCAAGTAGTATTTCCAGAAACTGGAACAGACATTCATCCTTTGCTTTGAAAGCTCTGACAAGAACTGTAGGTGAAGGATTCGTGCTGCATATTAAGAGTGTTGGATGACATATTGTTGCCGGGTGGTGAGAGATTATTCATGAGAATCTTTAAATGTAGTAGTGAGCTGACAAATATAAGCCCATCAACTGCTGAGCTCTTACACTTGTGAGTTGTAGTGGGCAGGTGAAGTTCTTTGCTCAGCTGTTTGTCTCTGGAGTTTTCTGGAAGGGAAACGTTCACAGGTCCTTGTGGATTTGATCGTTGAACTGCAGGTATTTAATTGGCCTATAAATAGGAAGGAATAAGTTACCTTGAAGACTAATTAGACTGAAAAATAGGCTTCTTGTACCTTTTGGTTTCCTCTATTGAAACATGCTCTTTAGTCTGAGACTCCAGGAATCTTCCAAGTGGGTGGTTTCTAATGCAATATTTGGTACCTCAGAATTCTTTATGTAATTTTGACTGAAGCACCTTTGACATCTAAGAAAAGTGCTTGCTTGTTACTAAGGTACAAATAGCAGCTTCTTCTGTGACTAAGTGGTTAAACAGTTAAATCTGCTAATAAAAAGGAAAAAATAGAGGAAGAGCATAATAAAAATAAGTCACTCCTAATTAATGATAGAATGCACTTGCCTGCAATTCTTTTCTTACAGTCCCTTTAAAAAGGTTTTTCCTCTTTCCATGACAGCGTTGGCTGACTGAACAAAGAGCTCAGTGCCCTCATTGCAGGTAAGGTATTTTTAATATCAGAAACAAACTATCAGGAATTGGCTGTACTGTCCTGTTAGGATTGATTTTATTTTTTATTTTTTTTTTCAGTGCAGGTTGCATTAAATTTATAAGCTTGATTACATTTTTTTTTTTTTTTCTGGGAGACCTGGCTGCTGGTACTATAAAAATTGGCCCAGGTATTACACTTACTGTAAAATACATTCTAGTTCTGTGACAGGCTAAGATCTTTGTTCTTCCCATGTAACACTGCTGTTTTCAGTGCATGTAGTTTGTGTAGTAAGAGTCACTCAATGGAATTCCTCTTAGAGCTCTTTATATTTTTCTTATGGGAGTCAGAGACCAGAAGCCTCACTGTTCAGACTGAACTGTGTCCTGTTTTAGTACAGTAATTTGTATGATATCAGGCAGCTGCTCTGTGTGGCCCTGTGGGGTGGTTCATTGTGTTCCCACCTCTCCCCAGCCCCCAAACGGGCAAATCCACTTAAAAATTTCTTTTATTTTTTTTCCTGAAATAACTAATACAGCTTCTGCTTTTTTTTTTTTTTTGTGTTACTCTTCTGGTAGTGTAGAACTTCCAAATTCCCTTCAGTGCTTTTCCTTTCTCTCCTGGAGCCCCAGTGTTGCTCCTGCTCTGCTGTGCTTCTTGCAGGGCCCCGCTGCAGCTCCGGGAGCTCGTCAACTGTCGCTGGGCAGAGGAGGTCACCCAGCAGCTCGACACACTCCAGCTCTGCAACCTCAACAAGCATGAAGAGAACGAGAAGGACAAGTAAATGGAGCATTCTCTGCATAAAGTGTTCTGTGGTTTGCCTTACAGGAGTGGGATTTTAGTTATCAGGGAACAAGCTGATAACTTTCCCTCGCTGAAAAGCTGAGTTGTGCTGGTGTTTCTGTCACGCTTCGGTGCCTTTGCCTAGAAAGTTGCTATTTCTGGTTCTACTCGACACATTTAAAATGAAAGATGGGGGAAACACGAAGGGCAGGAATACTTCTAAAGGCTCTCAACCCTTCTCAGTGACCAGATAACTGAAATAAGTCTTATCTCAGTGGGTTGTTCATTTGGCAGTAAGCCCCAGTAAGACTGTGCCTGCTGATTTGGTATCTCAGCACGTAACAGCAGGGAAGCTGTTCTGTCTTCTAGTCCTGAAAATGTAATTGATAAACCCAGTTGGAGAGCAAAGAAAATACATAAAGTTCCCCCAAAAGGCACTACTATTGCCCTGTCATGCTACTGGTGTTCATTCTCCTTCCTTGTTTTTGGAGCTTCCTGTATATTCTGAGATACTGTTTTCCTAGGGTTCCTGA